TCTAGCTGTTCTACTGCTGCCCGCCGAAACTACCTAGAATATGTTTCTAAAATCATCAGTTTAATCATTTGTTAACCTGTGTGTTTGTTCTCCCTTCCATCCCCTCAGTCCATCACCCTAAAAATATTCCTAATTTCAGCCGTGTTTGTTTTATCAAGTAAACCCATAAAGGGCCTGATCTTCCGTGGCTTGCTCTAATATTTGTAAATAGTGGCTTGTTGCTACGGCTGGCGTCCCCACGCTAATCTTAGCCCCGCTGCTCAGACGCGAGGCTTTATGATGCTATAACAGGGTCCCTCTAACCATATTTAGGTTTCATGTGTAAACGTCGTCACCTGATTCCGCTGAAAATAGCTTTAGGATGGGCTCAGGAACAAGACAGTTGTCTTAGAAGATCAGAGTTGTGCGGCCGGCCTGCTTTTTCTTCCTGCTATTTTTTTTTTAAGTTAAGTAAGACATGCCAAGTCCTTCTCCGTGTTTCCTGTCTTTTCTAGCGAAGGCAAGCTACCATAATTCAAAGGTGTCCCTATTTTCCCCTGTGTTCTACTGAGACCTTGAAGAACTGCTGACCAGGGGACATTTTGTAGAAAAAGTGGTGCAGGAGCTCATTAACATAACTCATTAGCATACCTTATTTGCATATGCCACACACCCTGACATTACTGGAAGTGTGTCAGAAGGCAACACCCACCGCTCAGGCTCCACTGGACTGTTTTGGATTGCTAGCTATGGGGGGGGGGGATGTGCATGTCTGTCCTCACAGAGGAGGGAGAGCTTGCACCTGAGTAAAACTTGGTCTTAAAGGTGCCACTGGACTGTTTGGGGCCGGGGGGTGGGCTCTGCAACCTACCTGACTGCTTCTTGCTCTGATTGAGGGCTGCTGGGAGCAGGGGGTGGGGTTTGTTGCATGTGTCCGCCCCCTGGGCTCTTTACTGCCGGAGCCCCGCTCCTCTGCGCTCCTGCGGGAAATGACCCCTGCTGCTGACACAGACTTTTCAGTGCGTTTTCGGTGCTTTGATACCAAACTTACAAACTCAAATAAAAGGAAAGAAGCAGCATGGGGCAGTCGTGCATCAGGAGTCACATTTTTGGAGTATGGTGTAAAGGGCAAACATGTCTGTTTTGGTGCTGATTCGAGTCCAGGAGCATCTTAGAAACCATCGAGAGTCAGCGCTCCCTTCGTCAGATAGGTTTCTTCTGTACATGGGCGGGGAAACGGGCACAGCAGAGGTTGACTCGAGGGGAGCAGATGTGTCGATTCACGAAAAATGCTTTCAAGCGTGCCCCAAGTGAGTTCAGGCGTCCCATTGTCCGTGTACGGTTGTCCATACTGTTGCCATTACAGATGTCCCTTCCTGATTCGGGTGTCAGAGGGTAGGCATGTTGGTCTACAGTAAAACAGCTGGATTCAAGTCCAGTAGCACCTGTACCTGGCAAAGAAAGCACTGACTACTGAAAACCTACACCCTGAAAATCTTTCAGGTGGTCAGCCGTGTTGGTGTGAAGCAGCAGAACAGATTTAGCGTCCAGGGGCACCTTTAAGTCCAACAAAGGTTTATTCAAGATATGAGCTTCCGTGTGCATGCACACTTTTTTAAAGTGTGCGTGCACACGAAAGCTCATACCTCAAATAACCCTTTGTTGGACTTAAAGGTGCCACTGGACTCTACATTTGTTTCTAAAATCTTGTCGGTTTCTAAGGTGTTACTGAACTCAAATCCAGTTGTTCCTTCCTCATCTGAAGGACCAGTGGAAACTCATTGGGCCATTTTGCAAAGATCCATCGTACACATGTGGGGGGAAAGCTGCCCGAGCTGGTGGTTTAGCATTTGTTGTTTTGCTACAGTAGTTCCCACTCCAAAGAAACAAGCTATTTTTTAAAAAGAAGAAGAAGAAGGATTGGATTTATACCCCGCCCTTCACTACCCAAAGGTGTCTCAGAGCGGCTGACAAAGTCCTTTCCCTTCCCCTCCCCACAACAGACACCCTGTGAGGTAGGTGGGGCTGAGAGAGCTCTTGACAGAAACAGCTCTTTTTCAAGAACAGCTCTTATCAGAACTATGGCTTGCCCAAGGTCATCCAGCCAGGTGCAAGTGGAGGAGTGGGGAATCAAACCCGGTTCTCCCAGATTAGAGTCTGCACACTTAACCACTAAGAAGAAGAAGAGGAGATTGGATTTATCCCCCACCCTTCACTACCCAAAGGTGTGTCAGAGCGGCTTACAAACTCCTTTCCCTTCCCCTCTCCACAACAGACACCCTGTGAGGTAGGTGGGGCTGAGAGAGCTCTTGACAGAAACTGCTCTTAGAGCTATGGCTTGCCCAAGGTCATCCAGCCAGGTGCAAGTGGAGGAGTGGGGAATCGAACCCGGTTCTCCCAGATTAGAGTCCGCGCACTTAACCACGACACCAAACTGGCTACACCAAACTGACCGACAGCTTGTCTCTTTGGCAGCAGGAAGTGTTACAGTGAGAAAAACTACAGACCCAGTTTGGTGGGAGGGCTAGATCTCGAATTCCCCATGTACACCATCTTGCGCTCTCTTGGAAAGAGGGTAAAGCACAAATGAAATAAATGGGGATACATTTACTAAAGGGGGTCTGATGTCTAACTTCAGTATGAGAGCCAGCATGGTGTAGTGGTTAGAGTGTGTGAGTAGGATCTAGGAAACCTGGATCCAAATCCCTGCTTTACCATGGAAGCTCACTGGGTGACGTTGGACCAGTCATACACTCTCAGCCTGTCCTACCTCACAAGGTTGTTGTGAGAATGCAGTGGATGGGAGGGGAGAAGAATGGTGTAAAAGCTGCTTTGGGTCTCCCCTTAGTAGAAAAGTAAATAGAGCAAACGAATAGATACAATAACTTTGATTCATGCTGGTATGAATTCTGTTTTCTTTTGGGAGGAAATTGACTTGTCATGTATGATTCTTCTTTGTTTATAGGCGTTGTCCAAGGCGGTCCTCTTTCAACCATTTGCACTCAGATTATGACGACTGTGGATCAAGAGCAAAACAAGGTCCTGTGGATTCCAGCCGGCCCTTTGTAGAAACCTGCTCTGCACCAGACTCTAAATAAACATTGAAGGGTGGGGTGGTCCATTTATAACTGCTTGTATGGTGGGCACAGATTATAGACATTATGTGGACGGTGAACTTGGAAGGCGATCATTCTTATGTCAGCAGAATTCTCAGAAGTGTGCTTCTATATGAATGGACGAAAACAGAATTCCTTTGTTTCCCATAAAAAGACTTTGCAAGGTTACAAAAAAAGTGAAAGAAACCCTTTAAGATACGTTTACAAAATCTTTTCCCCCCAAGTACTTGGAGGTTCATGTTTACTTGAATTTTTTAACAATCGGTTCGAAGTTTTTTTTGGTTTTGTTTCTGTTTTGTTTTTGTTTTGTTCTCCGCTTCTGATATGGGAAGCAAATGCTAGGGTAGAGTTTTCTTCATGCTGAGTGAAGCTGACCTTTACACGGTGTGATTCTGTCGTTCGGCGATGAACTTTCTCGCGTCAGAATAACCGCACGAATTGTGAACGAGTTTTTGCATAGGTACGTGTTTTCGGGAGTGAATATAGGAGGACTCCAAACACATGGGTCAGGCCACTGTTCATATTTCACAAGCTGTTTGTCCGTCAAAAGTTCTTGGGCTTTCTTTTATGCATGGATCTGCTACATAATGTCATGACGTATCTGATCATACTGTGCTGGTTGTGTAATCAGGAATCGTAATTTTTGAGTTGTCAGGCCTGTGTTTAAGAAGCAGATCGGGAGTGTTAATAACCAGCCCCGGACTGCGTTATTTTACGGCTTGGTGTAGGTATAGCCTGCTTAGTTGGAAGCTTACATCGCTCATACTTCGGTGTGTAGTAGTCATAGGGATTTTAATTTAATTAGAAGCACGGTCTTCGGTTTTTAGGGATCTAGTGTGGTCCTATAACTGTTAGTTTTTGCCACTGTCAACAAATATCGTGTATGTTTTTTAAAAAAAATTGTTACAATACTTATTTCCTGACTGTACCAAATTCCATTGTATGTGTCTCTTTGCACTTCTAACCTTGTTTTTCCAGCAGTGTGCATTTATTTTTCCTTTGTTAAAAAAAAAAAGATTGCATGTCAACGTTTTGTAGGTACTGTAACTTTATTGTCGGTGTTCAAGTTATCTTTTGCATTGTGATAACCTGTTCCTAACATTTCATAATGTAGAAAGATCCCCCCCCCTTTTGGGTTTTTACCCTTCAGTTTTTTTAGTTTTTTGCTTCTTTTTTTTTTGGCGTTAATTTAAAAAAAAAAGGGATTCTTCTTGCACAGTTGTTCAAAGACAAAAATTGGTTGGAAATTTTAACCTGTTTTGCAGATACTGTTTTATAGTTCAAAACACAGGACAGAGGAAAAGGAGAGGGGAAAAAATTTAGAAAGCCTATTGATAAATTCTTAGTTGAAGTACTGTTTATAAGTCGAGGGACAGCAGTTATATATTTTTTTAAAGAAAGAGGCGAGAGTTGGGCTTCAGCGGTCCACTTGAAACAGACCAGCACTGTTGCAAACATGGATTTTTCTATACTAAAAAAAAGTCACTTTGTATCAAAACAAAAAAGTTAAAGAAACTGATTATTGTGTTTAAATAAAGGTCAATTTCTATAACTTGACTTGCATGGAAACGTCGTAGATTGTCCAAGTTCGGTTTCTTGTTCTAATCTGTAGAAATAACCTTCAGAAATAAAATGACCAAAAATTTACAAAAAAAAAACCCCACAGACATTTGCTAGTAAGGACCACCAATACTTCCACCCTGCATATAAAAAATTACTCCTTCTCTCAGCAAAAAGAAGTCTCCAAACCAAGCTGTCATATAAAGCACCAGTGGACCAAACCGCCTCAGCTTGCCAGGGCCCACTAGCCACTGGTAGGGGATGGGGGGGTAGACTGCAGATCCTGGTTGGGAAACTTCTGGAGATTTGGGGATAGAACCTGGGGAGGACAGGGACCCCAGTGGGTACAATGCCATAGAGCAGTGGTGGCGAACCTGTGGGCGCGTGTGCCATCACCCCAGCCGTGCCCAGACCATTATTAAAGTGTCGAATTCTCTGCCAAATAAAAGTAAATGAAAGCATTTGGGATTGCTTTCCTTACTTTGTTTGGATCATCTTAAGTTAATGTATGAGTTGTTTTTTCTAAAGTAAGTAAAGGTAAGGTTCCCTTGCTCGAAAGCCAGTCGAATCCGACTCTAGGGTTGCAGTGCTCATCTCCGTTTCCAAGCCGAAGAGCCAGCGCTGTCCGAAGACGTCTCCATGGTCATGTGGCCGGCGTGACTAAACACCAAGGCGCATGGAATGCTGTTACCTTCCCACCGAAGTGGTCCCTATTTATCTACTTGCAATTTCTTGCTTTCGAACTGCTAGGTGGGCAGGAGCTGGAACTAGAGACGGGAGCTCACTCCCTCAGCTCCAGGCATATGCATTCGATGCTTGCTCACAAGTTTTGAACGGATAATTAACTAATTGAGTGATTAGTTTTGAATGGACAAAATTAATTTATAATCTCCTGCCCAAACTGGGGCTGATGTTGACACTAGATGGCCGGCCATCCGGTTTGTTTTGCTGTGGCTGGGAGAAGCCATTGCCCGGAGGGAGGGTTTTTTGTTGTTGTTATCCTGAAAGAATGCATTTGGCTTTGACAAATGACACGGCACCATGGTGGAGGCTGCAGTTGGCTGCATAATTGTCTAGACCGTGGTGCTGCAGGTGATGGCTCTCAGGTACAACAGAGAAATTAAATCGGAAATAAAAGTATTTGAGAACAGATTTAGGGGGAGACAGCATTTTTTTTTTAGCACTTTGGCATTTAGGGTAGCACAGAAAACTACCTATTCTGTCTGACCCTCCCCTCTTGGAGAAGGGATTCCACTTGTCTGGTTAATGTGGAAGAGAAGTACAAATAATCACGAACGATTCAAATTCTAATAGAGGCATTCAGCTTGTCAGGGACAGTATGATAGTAATGGTTCTTGGGGAAGAAACAGCCACTTGAAAAGCCCAGATGGCGCCCATGCTTTTAACCCTTTACCACCGTGCCTAAACTCTCCAGTCATTATCTTAATAATGTTATTATTAAGTGCCCTGGCAGCTAATTCTCTTGCTGAACAATTTAAACTATTCAGTTCACTTACACCCCCGCCTTTTCCCCAGTGGGGATCCAAAGAAGCTCACATCATTCTTGTCTCCTCCATTTTATCCCCACGACAACAACCTCGAGAGCTAGGGTAGGCTGGTAAGGTTACAACTAGCACAAGGTCACTCGGCTTCCATGCCACAACTTGGAATTTGAACCGGGGTCTCCCAAATATTACTTTGACACCCACCACTACTCCACACCGACACTCATGCACCTCACGTCTGGCAAAGGGAACTTTGATACTTGAAATGTTATACCCCGAAAATGTTGTTGGTCTCTTAAGGTTCTGCTGGACCCAAATGTAGCAGCCCATTCACCTCAGGCATGTGTCATTCCATCAGGAGACCTTTGTCATGAACAGATTTCTGAGAGCCCACGTGGCACCGCCGATCGGTGAGCCTTACAAGCAGGCCAATCAAGTTACCCAATGCAACTAAAGAATCTGACAGCACTGCAATGGTGGATCTTTTTTTGCCAAGTCATCTAGCGTCAGCTTGGCATGCAGAAGGCACCTAGTTCAATCCCCAGGGGCATCTCCAGTTAAAAGGATCAGGGAGTAGGGGATGTGAAAAACCTCAGGCCGAGACTCCGGAGAACGGCTCCCAGTCAAGAGTAGGTCATACTGACCTTGATGAACCGATGGTCAGGAAGCAATCCAGTGAGCATGGCTTGACAAAGATACACAAGCTCACCATCCTAAGGCCCTTTGCAGACGAATCCTCAGTCCTTCTGCCGGATGCTGTAGAGATTGCTGATCATGATTGCACTCGATAGAACTGATAACATTCATTCACGCCGGCACCAGATAGTGGAGGCAGAAGCTTCTTCTCTCGGCCTAACCAGATGTTCTCCTTCAGGCTCTACCCTGTGGCCCACCAAAAAAGCCATGAAGACTGTGACGTGTTCTCTTGGCTCTTCAGCTTCTGCCTGAACGGACAGTTGGATCTGAAAGATCTATTCCAGCACAGAAATCTTGCCCGCCCTTGCTGCTCTCTGTGATGGTTACGAAGAGCTGTGAGTAGTTAAAAGGTAAAGGTAAAGGTTCCCTTGCTCGAAAGCCAGCCGAGTCCGACTCTAGGGTTGCGGTGCTCATCTCCGTTTCCAAGCCGAAGAGCCAGCGCTGTCCGAAGACGTTTCCGTGGTCATGTGGCCGGCAGGACTAAACACCAAGGCGCACGGAACGCTGTTACCTTCCTACCGAAGGGGTACCTATTTACCTATTATCTACTCCCCTGATGTTGCCTCCTGGCTCTGGGATTCAGAAATTGACTGCCCCTGAATGTCGAGGTTCCCCTCAGTTACCATGGCTAGTAGCCACTGATAGACCTATCCTCCATGAATCTTTCTAATCCCCGCTTAAAGCTGTTTATTCCTGTGGCCGTCGCGACATCTTCTGGCAGCAAATCCCCCCATTTTAATCACCCTCTGTGTAAAGAAATACTTCTTTGTGTCTGAACTTCATTGGATGTCCTCAAGTGCCAGTATTTTGGGAGAAGACGGCAAAGTTGTCTTTGTCGGCTCTCTCCACCCTGTACATAATTTTATAAACCTCTGTCGTGTCGTCTTGCTTGTCTTGCTTCTAAACTGAAAAGTCCCAGACGCTTCAGCCTTTCCACATAAGGGAGGTGCATCAACCCCGTTGTATTCGTTGCCCTCGTCTGTACTGTTTCCACCTCTGCAATGGCCTTTTTGAGATACAGTGACCACAGCTACAGTATTCCAAATGCAGCTGCACCATAGATTTATACAGTGGCATTCTAATTTTGGCCATCATATTTTCAAACCTTTTCCTAATACTCCCCAGTGTAGAGTTTGCCTTTTTCACTGCTGCAGCACCCTGGGTTAAGGCTTCCATTGAGACATCTGCTATGAGCCTCCACCCCTCCTGCCCTCCTCCTTCCAGTATGGTGTGGTGGTTAAGTGCGCAGACTCTAATCTGGGAGAACCGGGTTTGATTCCCCACTCCTCCACTCGCACCTGCTGATGTGACCTTGGGTCAGTCACAAGCTCTGGCACAGCTGTCCTTGAAAAAGAGCCGTTTCTGTCCAGAGCTCTCTCAGCCCCACCTACCTCCCAGGGTGTCTGTTGCGGGGAGGGGAAGGGAAAGGAGTTTGTAAGCTGCTCTGAGACTCCCTTGGGTAGTGAAGGGCCATGGGGTATCAATCCAATCTCTCTCTTCTTCTTCTTAGTGGTTAAGTGCGCGGACTCTAATCTGGGAGAACCGGGTTCGATTCCCCACTCCTCCACTTGCACCTGCTGGATGGCCTTGGGCAAGCCATAGTTCTGTCAGAGCTGTTCTTGAAGAAGAGCAGTTTCTGTCAGAGCTCTCTCAGCCCCACCTCCTCACAGGGTGTCTGTTGTGGGGAGGGGAAGGGAAAGCCGCTTTGAGGCTCCAAGTGAAGGCCGGGGTATAAATCCAATCTCCTCCTCCTCCTCCTTCTAGAATTAAATAAAAAAACCTGTATTCTGTAATAAATCTGGAAGAAAATGGTCACACACTGACCACAGAACGGCTTACAAACTCCTTTCCCTTCCCCTCCCCACAACAGACACCCTGTGAGCAATGTTCCCCCTAAGCTGTGGAGTCCTGTGAGCAAAAATTCTACTTTGTGAGTCATGGGCATTAAAGTTGTGAGTGGGCGATTTGGCTGCTGCATCAATTAGTTTGCTTTGGAGCCGTCCTTCCTGAGCTGAGACAAAAATGTGTGAGCCGGAGGCTAAAAAACTGTGAGCTAGCTCACTCTAACTCAGCTTAGAGGGAACACTGCCTGTGAGGCAGGTGGGGCTGAGAGAGCTCTGACAGAAACTGCTCTTTCTCTTGACAGAAACTGCTCAGGTGTGTCATGCCTGCCCCTGCTGATGTCATGCCTGCCTTTGCTGATGCCCCTGAACAGGCTCCTGAGGACCCTGAACAGGCTCCTGAGGACAGTACTGCAGCAGAAAGGCAAAGACTGGATCCTGTAGCTGAAAGCTATCTAAGTGGTGAGGAGGATAGAGCCTCCCAGGGAACACCTGCAAGGGATCAGTCTCTGCTGCAGCCCAGTAATTCATCATCAGACTCGCCTCCACCTGTAACCAGGCTCAGGAATGTAAGAAGACAACAGCTGAGAGAGCGAAGGCAGAATGCACGCATGCGTGCCAGAAGATCTCTTCGCCCTGATTACTGACAGGATCCTGTCCTCACTCCTGGCTAGCTAATGAGTTGATTAGCTAGCACTGTATATATGCAAGTCTGTTGCCAGCAGTCATTTGTGCTGGCAACGTTGTTTGTTCAGGACCTGAATCCTTGCATCTCTGCTCCAGACCTTGTGGAATTCTTCTCGGCTTGATCCTTGGCTTTTGACCTTCGGCTTTGTTGACCCTG